TTTTTTTTTTTTTTTTTTTTTTTTTTTTTTTTTTTTTTTTTTTTTTTTTTTTTTTTTTTTTTTTTTTTTTTTTTTGCATAGCAAGAATAAAAATAAAATAAAAAACACAGCATAATCCATTGTTTTCCACTCATTATCGTGTGATATAATTATTCATTAAAAAAAAAAAATTGTCCCTTAATATTCATCAAAATAAAAATGAAAAATTTAGTAATTAAATGATTAGATTTTGTGATCATATACTCCATATCATAAAAGAAGTTATTTTTAAATTTATAATGAATTTGAATGAAATTTCTTATATGCTGATGGAATGCTCTATAAATTTAAAAATATTAACACTTTTGATAAGACTTTTTACAATATAAATTAAATTGATAAAAATTTAATTTAAGTTGTTGAATACTAAAGTTTAGAAACGAAATGGGTCTAACTTTTTTTTTTTTATATTTTTTTTTTAAGAATTTAATCTTGAGTATTTTTAGAGGAGATAATTGTGGTGTGGTATTAGTGGCCAAGAAATCAGCTGCTTCGCATTACACAGTATATGCCATGCTAATGGATGTTTCGACGAGCAAGATCATGCCACGTGTAAAAGTACAAAATTACGTGGTGGGGAGGGACTTCCGATAATGCGTACACCGCCGCTTTCAATAGACCGTGAGTTTCGTCTTTCGCGCTCTCTCTCTCGCGTCAGGTTTTACCTTTCTTCAATCTTCCATCTCCAAGGACTCCCCCTTATCTCTGCTCATTCAATTCCCTTTCAGATTCATTTACCACTTTTTGTTTCAATCTTCTCGCCATGGCTGAGTGGCAGAGCTTCTCCAAACCGCCATGGTGGAGTTGTCAAGTTGATCCCTGCAGTTGTCTCTTTTAAAGAAGACAACCTCTCTACCTCTCGTACTACCGCTATTTCCATTCAGGAATCCGCCGGAGGAGCTTCCGCCATCAAGGTAATCGAAAGCGACCTGGCTGTTTCCGGGACGGGTTCGGGAGATTTCGAATTGGCGCGCGAACTGGTAGTGTGAGGAATGGCGGTATTGGTGGGAGGGATTCCGATGATGATGATTGGGAAGGGGTGAAGAGCACCGAATTGGATGAGCTCTACAGCGCCGCAACTGCATTTGTGGCTGCATCTGCTTTCTCCCAAGGTCTCCAATGAAGTACGGTTGCAAAATTACATTGATGTCGGTACCGAGTGATATCCATCTTGGTTGGTTAGTGCAAGTGGGGTGAGAACTTAATCTGTTTACTTCACCATTTTTACGTGCCCTGTTTGCTTCTCGTTTGTTTGTTTGCGTTTTTTGTTCTCTTTAAAAGTTGCTTTGAATGTCTGTGATGACCAAATATGGGAATGTTGATGGTAGAAGTAAAGATACTAAAGGACCAATCGATGATATCTCAGTTCTAACTGGATTTGAAGCTTCGACTTCACAAAACTGTCTCTCCTCGAACATTGACAAAAAAAGTTACTTTTAATCAAGAACTCTATCCAAAAAAATGAAGATCAGTGTGCGGGAAATGCACCTATTCATGATTTTCTTATGTATTCTACTTCGTTAAGAGAAGCCCTTATTTGGGAACTACGTGGAGAAGGTCTAGCAGGACATTTGAGACCTTTGAGGCCTCAAATGAGAATAGATGTCTTTATAACTATGTGAAGAGGTGATTTATCTGTCTGGTTTCTAAAGGACAATGCCAAATATTGGATTATACCAACCACTTTTGATATGGAATCAACCCGGGAAAGTTTTGGAATGCATTACCTTGATGATCATGATTAAGAGTAAAGAAAACTCGTTTCTAAACTCGTGATTCGAATCACTCCACAAGAGATTTAATCAATACCACTTGAATGACTCTAACATGTAAGTTCTAGATTCAAAAATTTGCAAAGTAAAAACTTAGTTCTCAGTCAAGCTAAAATAAAAATTCTATTCTTTTCAATTCTAAAATGTATTTATAAATTCAACTATGAGTTTATTAATGGATCTCTATTTTGAAGCTCCTTTGCACAACATGTAAAAAGGTTCCAACGTCTTATAGAATTTCTTTTGACGAACTCACCCTTGAGTATATGTGATTAAAGCTTGTTGTAACTTCTTAGCTCTCGTCCTTGTTGTAACTTTTTTTTATCCTGATGATGTTGAGTATGATGTTGAGTAATATCTTTCCTAAACAATTGTTTTGAATGGTTGCATACAGTGAAGGAAGGACCACAGTGCATTGGGCATTGGATCGTGGGGCATTCTAATGCTGTGGAGCTGCTTGTTAGCAGGAAAGCTAATATAGATGTAAAGGTACCTAGAACACATTTATATTCTATTTACTGATCAAGATCATCTGCGGGATTTTCATACCGACCCGACTAGTCTTTACTTGGTGGTAGCTCTTGCCTGTGCCACGTTTCTTATTGAGAATGTACTGATAGTATTAGACAGAAATGATTATATCTTAATTAAGGTAAAATTTCAAAGATCTGCAAATTGTGAATTTTATTCATCTTTTGCAAAGAAAAATTGTGCATCTGTTGTTGTGTCCTATTGGATCTATCCTTTGCTTCCTCTGTGAATGAAATTTTGTGCACCCTCTGACATAGGAAGTTGATGGCCAAACTCCATTGCATTATGCCATTGTTTGTGATAGAGAAGCGATCGCTGAATATCTTGTCAAGAACAATGCCAGCATTAATGAAAAAGACAATGATGGAAAGTGGCCTTGTGATCTTTGCAAGTTTAACTGGCCTTTTGGTCTCAGCGGGAAAGTATAGATTATTTCTCACGCGCCTTTTGAATGTAATACTCCCATGCATGGCCCCTCCCAACAACTTCATTATAGATAGTTTTAGAGTACTTATGAAGTTTACCTGTTTCATATCAAATGCTGAAGGCTTCAATAGTATCTATCTCGTTGTTAATATTGTTATTTAGGATTAAAATAGATAGCGCAGATGAACAGGAAATGTCAGCTATTGGTTCGGAAATGAATGCTATGAAGTGGAAAATGGTACCTTGATGCCTTGACTTTATGTATGCAATCATTGTTGTAATTAGATCAAAATTGTCCCTATCTGATCCAGACACCGAGTAGTGTACCAGTGAGGATGTCAGGTCCAAGGTGGATTGTGAGATTCCACATTGGTTGGAAAGGGAAACAAAACATTTCTTGTAAAGGTGTGAAAACCTCTTTTTAGCTGACACTTTTTAAAACCTTGAGAGAGGAAGTCCGTAAGGAATAGTCCAAATAGGACATCTCAAATAATGCCTACTTTTTTGTGCTGGATACAACTAATGAAGCACTAGCTTTTGGACTTGCAGCCATTGAGTTTTGGACTTCTATTGGTTGTGATAAGGAGAGCTTTTGGATTTTGTTGGGGATTGGTGTTATTTTGCTAACTCTTATGCAACACTCCTTTTCCAGGTACATAGATGCCTATGATCTCCATTTTGATATCGATTTCTCTATCTCGGGTGAGGTTTTAGGAAAGCTTGTACTATCGGCCTCGATAATACTTGACTTGACTTGACTTGATAATTGCAGGTCTTAAATAGAACTCCGGGACGATCTCTTGATAGTTTAGTTAAGAATTGTTAATGCATAATTCTATGAATGTTTTTTTTTTTTCGTTCTTGTCTCTCTATGTACTTTTATTATTTATTTCGAGAGAACTATATGATAATTTTTCTTGCTGTTTAGAACTTGGGACGAAGAAACTTATTTTGGATTTTAAGTTGATATAATTAATAATTTAAGATTTAAATTGGTGCAAAGTTTGAATTTATATTTTCTCAAATTTATTTTGGTAGGCGTTGCTTTCAAGGACTTGTGAACCATGAAGTTGAAGGAACTTGGAAGCATTGTTCATTATATTTGCGTTAAAAGCCTTCAAAATGGTTCAAATAATGAGAGCATTCAACTTCTATGTGGGCCTAAAGTTATTATGCCTCATGTACTATGAATTGAGAAGCATAATTGTAGGTTCAAAATCTTTTGTTTTGTTTTCTTGATATCTCTAATCTCTGAGTGAGTGACCGCTAATTTGTAGGCTAATTCGTGGACACCTCGACTAATTTCAAGAAACAATCGTCTTTTTCTACTATATTGTATTGTTAAGATAACTTCGTGATATTAAGTTTTAGAAGGTAACCATCATTTCTCAATGAGAGATTAAACAATTAAGACTTTCAAAATAAAACCTCTCTACATACTAAAGGGATTTTGATATGCTATAGTTGTATTTTGTGTTCGACCGTGAATAATGGTTTGACATTTTTAGAAACGTGTCTGGTTTATAGGATCTATTATGGCTCATATTGGCGCACAAGATCCCTTCTTCTATATTTTCAGATACAAAATCTCTTCTTCTATATTTTCAGATATGATCTATTCGAAATAGCCACCTACCGGTATAAGAATGATGCATAATTATTTTCGTATCGATGAGTCGTAATTGCCTCATAATGGATGGATAAATGTTTGGATTTCTGTGATTACGCACCATCCTATTTTCTTTAAACTAGAGTAAAAAAAAAGTACCTTTCACTTATTTTACCGTATGGCTTTTTGGTCAAAGATTTTTTTAGTACTTTTTTTTTGTTAAAAAATAATAATAAATAAATTGTTTTCGTCTGGTCTACTAAGGCAACAATAACGTTGTTATTTTATTGGTTTGACAAGTCAGACCTAAAATAAAATCCGAAATGAAACCAAATGCATCCGAAATTCACTCCTAAATTATTACATTCGAGCGAAAAATAAAATAAAATAAAAAATAAATTTAGTTTTTAGCATTTCAAGTCCAGCCTTTGCGCTCTTCCAGTTTCTTCTCCTTCTTCTTCCTCTCGCCCATTCCCTCCCTCTTCCTCTAGGGTTCCTCCAACTGCCGTCTTTTCGCTCTTCCACAGTCTTCTTCTTTCTTGCAATTCCTTCAATTCTTCCATTCCAGGTATTGATTTCTCTTCTACCTTCAAAACCCCCTTGTGTTTTTGGTCATTGGGTTTCATTTTGCTTACTGATTTTCTGCCTTTTTGATCTGTGCATTTTCTATTCAATTTCTCCCGATTTATGCTTTTTCTGTTTTGTATCTTAAATTGGGTTCAGTTCTCGATGTATTTTCTATGGCCTTGGGAGTGTCAGTGTTTTTATTTTTATTTTTTTTCAAGTGTGACGAGTTTGTTGTAGTGGTCTGTGTCATTACATTCAGCTCATTTCGATCCTGTGAAATCTTGTTATCGTTTCTGTTTGTTGTTGTTTGAACTGGAAGCGCTTTAATATCGGCGTACACGGTGGGTTAATTTAACTTTAAGGGCCGGATTCTCCATAGATCACCTGCAGTTCAATTAGTTTTGTGATTGTTTGGTTTCGCTGTTGAGATTTGAGATCTGGGTTTAGGTTCTTTGTATTTGAGGTTTGTGATTGATTGATATATTTGGTTTTTGTCTTTTCTTTTAAGATTTCTTAATGAGCTTTTAGGATTTGCTGATTATTTATGTACTAAATGGATTTGTGAAATTTAAGCTGTGGTGCAAGTACTAATTGTCTCAATTTACAATTTATAGACAAATTATCTGTCTTTCAGGTGAAATATGGCATTGGAGGTTACGCAGGTTCTTCTGAATGCACAGTCAATAGATGCAACTGTGAGGAAGCAGGCAGAAGACAGTTTAAGGCAATTCCAGGAGCAAAACCTTCCTATTTTCTTGCTGTCTCTCTCTGGTGAATTAGGAAATGAGGAAAAGCCAGTCGACAGTCGTAAATTAGCAGGTCTGATACTTAAGAATGCATTGGATGCCAAGGAACAACATAGAAAATTTGAGCTTATTCAGAGATGGTTATCCCTGGACAGCAATGTGAAGACCCAGATAAAGACTTGCTTGTTGAATACGCTGTCTTCAGCAATAGCTGATGCTAGGTCCACATCTTCTCAAGTCATTGCGAAGATTGCGGGCATTGAGTTGCCTCATAAGCAATGGTCTGAATTGATAGGTTCACTATTGTTGAATGTTCATCAACAATCATCACATGTCAAGCAAGCCACCTTGGAGACTCTTGGTTATTTATGTGAGGAAGTTTCTCCAGACGTGATAGATCAAGATCAAGTGAATAAGATATTGACTGCTGTTGTCCAAGGAATGAATGAATCTGAAGGAAACAATGATGTTCGACTTGCTGCTACTCGGTCACTGTACAATGCCCTTGGGTTTGCTCAAGCAAACTTTAGCAATGATATGGAGCGTGATTATATCATGAGAGTTGTTTGTGAGGCCACACTATGTCCTGAAGTGAAAATACGCCAGGCAGCTTTTGAATGTTTAGTTTCAATTGCGTCAACATACTACGACAAGTTAGCTCGCTACATCCAGGATATTTTTGGCATTACCGCAAAGGCTGTTAGGGAAGATGAAGAACCTGTTGCTCTTCAGGCCATTGAATTCTGGAGTTCTATTTGTGATGAGGAGATAGATATCTTGGAAGAGTATGGGGATGATTTTACTGGGAATTCTGATACACCGTGCTTTTATTTTATCAAGCAAGCACTACCTGCGCTTGTGCCTGTGTTACTTGAGACACTTCTTAAGCAAGAAGAGGATCAGGATCAAGATGAAGGGGCCTGGAACATTGCCATGGCTGGGGGAACATGTCTTGGGCTAGTTGCACGGACGGTGGGAGATGATATCGTTCCGCTTGTGATGCCATTCATTGAAGAGAACATAACAAAATCAGATTGGAGGCAGAGGGAGGCAGCCACTTATGCTTTTGGTTCAATTTTGGAGGGGCCTGCTCCAGAAAAATTAATGCCCATTGTTAATGTGGCCTTATCGTTCATGCTGACTGCCTTGACTCAAGATCCAAATAACCATGTGAAAGATACGACAGCATGGACACTTGGACGGATATTTGAATTCCTTCATGGCTCAAATATAGATACCCCCATTATTCATCAGGCAAACTGCCAACAGATCATTACAGTTTTGCTTCAGAGCATGAAGGATGTGCCAAATGTCGCAGAGAAAGCCTGTGGTGCCCTCTATTTTCTTGCTCAGGGTTATGAAGATGTTGGGCCGGCATCTCCTCTGACTCCATTTTTCCAAGAAATTGTTCAGTCCCTTTTGGCTGTTACTCACAGAGAAGATGCTGGGGAATCACGTTTGAGGACCGCTGCATATGAAACATTGAATGAAGTTGTGCGGTGTCAAACTGATGAAACAGCTCCAATGGTGCTGCAATTGGTTCCTGTAATTATGATGGAACTGCACAATACTCTTGAGGGGCAAAAACTTTCATCTGATGAAAGGGAGAGACAGGGGGAACTACAAGGCCTGCTTTGTGGGTGCTTACAAGTTCTTATTCAGAAGCTAGGATCATCAGAGCCTCATAAGTATGCCTTTATGCAGTATGCGGACCAAATAATGGGACTTTTCCTAAGGGTATTTGCTTGCAGAAATGCCACTGTACATGAAGAAGCAATGCTGGCGATTGGAGCCCTTGCCTATTCAACAGGCCCAGATTTTGGGAAATACATGACCGAGTTCTATAAATATTTAGAAATGGGACTCCAGAATTTTGAGGAGTACCAAGTTTGTGCCGTCACTGTAGGTGTGGTAGGGGACATATGCAGGGCGTTGGAGGATAAGATTTTGCCGTACTGCGATGGAATTATGACTCAGCTGCTCAAGAATTTATCCAGTGATCAATTGCATCGTTCCGTTAAGCCCCCTATTTTCTCTTGCTTTGGTGATATAGCACTTGCTATAGGGGAGAACTTTGAGAAGTACTTGATGTATGCCATGCCCATGCTTCAAAGGGCAGCAGAGTTATCTGTACACACCGCAGGTATTGATGATGAAATGACCGAGTATACAAATTCTTTGAGAAATGGAATTTTGGAAGCATATTCAGGGATCTTCCAAGGTTTCAAGAGCTCTCCAAAAACTCAGCTTTTGGTCCCTTACGCACCTCATATACTTCAATTCTTGGATAGCATTTACATCAGAAAAGACATGTAAGTTCTTTCTGAGCTCTCTCTCTCTCTCTCTCTCTCTCTCTCTCTCTCTCCCCCTGTATGTGAATATGTGTTTCCTTAAAGTGGGATTGTTTGTTTGATGTTTTCATACTTGTTTTTCTTGCAGGGATGAAGTTGTTATGAAAACTGCCATTGGCGTCCTTGGAGATCTAGCGGACACACTGGGGAGCAACGCTGGTTCTTTGATTCAGCAATCTGTCTCAAGCAAGGACTTTTTAAGTGAATGCTTGTCTTCCGATGACCATTTGATTAAAGAATCTGCTGAATGGGCAAAGTTGGCCATCAGCCGTGCCATTTCAATTTAGCCTTCTGCTGGTTGGCAAATTCTTTTTTCTTGTTTTTGTCACATTTGAAGTCCTTGCATGCATATGGGTGGGTGTGTTGAGTTGGGGTCCGGATTGCATCTTACAAGTCTTCACTCACAGGGCAACAGGAAGCTGTTCACTTCTAGTTGTCACTACTAACTCTTGCATCATCATGAAAGCATTGCTAACTCATGCATTAGCAGCATCAAGTCGCGTTCTAGTATGTCATGGTAGAAGTAGGAGGAGGGTGCGCCCATTAGCTCCCCCAGTTCGTATGGCATGGCTGATTCAAGTTGTATCTCTGACTTGAGATAGTGTCCAACCTAGTGGGGTATGGTTTTGGGCTGTGGAAATGGATCGAGTACAAGGAGTTGTGCATTCACTCACTTGTTCTGCCCCTGCTTAGACACCCTCGAGCATTTTTCTCTGAACTTCTACTCTAGCGATTCTAGTTATAAGGAGTTTTTACCCTTTTGTTTATTTTTTCTGCATCAGTCTTGTGAGTTTTCATGGTCTGGGTGTATTCTGGTCTTACCTGTGAAATTCTCCTATATTTGTACACCTCGTTTGGTTCAGTTGCATAGCAATACACACCATGAAGTGTCATCATCATATCCTATATTTGCATTTCATTTGGTCGTGTTTTGTAGCTCAACATACATGATCAATACGGTAAATTTCACGAAATCATCGGGTCATTTTTGAAGTACAGTCGTCAGAGTCTGCTTTTTCTTTATTTGTTCTTTTCCATCCGATATCTTGTTATTATTTTGGCAATGATGATATGTATTAGAAACATCACAAAAGTTGTGATGTTAGCGTTTTTGGATTCAGTTTTTGGGTTGTGTGGGACTTCTGCTCGCCTACCCGGTCGAAAGTTGAGTATTTTATGGACCTGTATATATTATTTGTACGAGGAAAAGTTTTGATGATTGGAAATTTGAGGGTGCCAAAGATTATATTCCTTGTCAAGTTCTGTTACTATGACTTTATTTGGATGCATTTTCAACATTTCCTCTCCTCTCACTCCTGAAGTTTACTTCTAAAAGAAGCCATTACATTGTTAGGTACTTGGTTGTTTATATTATTCGTTTCTTCCACTGACTCGTTGACTTATTTTCTTCTTTTTCATAGTGTTTCTGTTCATGGCCATTATGATCATTAAATTATGTCATTTTAGGCACATTTTCATTCTTTAGAAGATATAGTAAGAATCGGATCTTCATAAAACAAATCTCTTCTAGTACCATTCTCTCTGACCTGGCATGCAAGAACAATAGAAACATACGTAATTCATCTTTAGTTTTGATACCCAAGATCAACATGAGAATCATCATGTAATGAAGTCAATTTTCTTTAGTGGTTCTGGATTTTTTCCTTTGTAATTTATGATTCTTAGTTTCCATAAGGAAGCCAACAGCTTATACTAGACTATGATTGGATGTACACATTCTGATATCTGTCGAATCTGTTATTTACTTTTTGCCTCTCGACCTCACTTCATTTCGTTCTTCTTTTGTATTGTTGCTTGAATGAATACACTTGATTGACCCAACCTTTTGAAGTGCACACCATCGGTCCTTTTCTTTTTTATTTTCGACTCGTCCTGCATTTCAGTCGTGATGTCTTAAGCAGGTTCCTGAGCAATGTTCTTTTTTTGTTTTTGGTGGAAAATTATGCCCCATTGTACCCCTTTATCTATAAGCAATTCTTTAATCAACTTTAGATGACCTTCAGATGATCATAGGCTCTGGTTTTGATGCATTTTATAATACTCATGATTTTTTTTTATTCTTTGCTTTGATCTCTCTTAATCTGTTCTTATCTGTCTTGATCACTTTATCCCTCTAATTCCATTTTTTATGTCTTATTGGCTCATCAACAAGTTTCAATCATGCAACCGAAGCCTTCTTCTGACATAAACTCTGGCTCATCATTGATATTTTACATTCAAAAAACGCTCAAACATAACCACAAAGCTCAAACTTCCCCCCAGCGAGGCCACAAGCATTAGATAGATGACTGTATCCATTGATTTAGGCTTTATTACAAAAGGAAGATATCCCATTTGATAAAGCTAATATACATTCTCGATCCATAATATATTAGTAAATACGGAAACTTGTTAACCTAAACAGTACTTAATTACTTAAACGTATTTTCATTAGACATGTTGAACTAAAATGAAGCTAAAAGATAGAGTGTTATTATTGAGCTCATAAGCCTAGGTGAGGCTATGTCAAGGTTTTCCATTGCCAGGCTTCTTGGGGTCGTGCCGGTTATTGGCTCTAGGGTCATCATAATCAATGTTAAATGCCAGTTTTCTTGCCTTCATTTGGAAGCTAGAGTCCTTTCCAAATTTGAGGAAGAAAAGAAACCAAATTATTTAGTTAGTTTAAAAGGAACAGTTGACATCCTCGAAAAAAGAGTCATCATAAAAGTCGCATGCATACAATAATACTTAGCAATACCTTGAAGATAGAGTTGTTTGCAATCTTGAAGTCCACGAGTGGATCAACCATTCCTAAACGAAAAAGGAAATCGTTAGCATCATCACAGACACAACCAGCCAGCTCGAATGAAAGACAAAAACAGAAGTAAAAAGTTACCCAAAGAGAACGACCAAACCACAAAGATCGAAAGGAGAGAAAGAAGAAGAAAGGATTTGATGAGTTTTGAAGCCATTTTAGTTTGTTAAGTCTCAAGAGATAGAGAGGTAAATTTGTAGGAAGCAAAAGGTAGAGAGGAAGCCAATGGGAGTTAGGCTCTTATCCGTATATTCCAAGAGGAAATAGGACAGCAATTTACAAGCCCATTTTCATGGTGCTTCCTCTCAATTGCTACACAATACATTAACTTTTGCCATACCCATTAAAGTCAAGTCTTCCAACTCTTCTAAACTTAAAGATCGTTTCGATTCAAATATATATCTTCGACTATTAGGGTTAAAGAAGTAATTTTTGGATACTGTTGGATGATGAAAGTCTCACATCGACTAATTTAAGAAATGATAATGAGTTTATAATCAAAGAATACTATCTCCATTGATCCGAGGTCTTTTGAGAAAACTCAAAGCAAAACCATGAGAGCTAATGATAATGAGTTTATAATCAAAGAATACTATCTCCATTGGTCCGAGGTCTTTTGAGAAAACTCAAAGCAAAACCATGAGAGCTTATATTCAAAGTAGACAATGTCATACCATTGTGGAGAGTCGTGTTCATCTAACTGATACGAGATAAAAAAAAAAACACAATTTTACATTGTAGCAGCACAATTTTACTATCTGTGATGGATCAACAACGTTATAGCAGCATTTTCACACTGACATCGAGAAGTTAAATCTATTTTTATTTTTTCATTATTATTTAAAATAATTTATGCGTAATTCGACTCATATTACGACATAACTTATTCGAATGGATAGCGTTACATATTTTATTATAATATTAATTTGATTGAATATTATGGTTTGAACCCAATTTAGGTAAGGTAGTGGAAATTATATTATATAAAAGATTTGAATTTTTTTAAATCACTAAATCAATAATTAATGGTGTTTATTTTTATTATTTATTTTTAAACAATTTTTAAAATAAAAAAAATTAAGTAAATAAGGTTTTAGTTAAGATGGGCTTGGGCCTCATGACAGAAAAGCCCAAATAATTGTTACCGGTAACTCATCGGGTCAAATCAGCTTCACTCACTCCACTTCGTCCTCTCCCTTCGCGTATTCTGTATCTGTCTGCTACCGTTGAAGTTAGCTTGTTTGGCCGCGAAACTCTCTACAATGGCGGCTTTCCTTCTTCTCTCTTCTCCTTCTTTCACCTACCACAGGTTTTTTCTTTTCCCTTTCTCCATCCGTTTCTCAGGGAACATTTTTAAACTTTATTCTTCTTTTTCAGAATTCGTATTCCTGAGTTTTTCTTTTTTAACTGGTTCATTGTTTTTTGAATTATGTGAAATCTGACCTCTGAATAGCGTTGATGCTGTTATCGGTTATGTATTTTGCTTCTAATAGTGAATTTGTTGAAATTGGAATGCTGATGCTTGCATATCCATTAGTTTATTCGTTTAATATCCTTTCTAGACTGGTGTCAGCGAGTTCAAATGTTTGCTTATGAAGTTTTTAATATGTGTAATGTGGAGGAAGTTTGTGGTTTCGCTGCTATTTCCAAATATTTCCTTATTTGGGTAGTTTTTCGTGCACCAACTACATAGATAGTGAATTTGCTGCAAAATAGTAAAATTCTGTCTTTGTTGATATTGAGGAAAGGAGATAAAAGAGCTATTATATCATTATATGTTACCGATTCGAAGTTTGATTGTAGTGTAATTTGACAACACTTAGGATTACAGAGTAGCTACTGTCTTTTCTGCTGATTACATTTGTTTTTTAGTCGGTATATGCTTCGGCTACTGTAAAATAGTTGATGAAGATGCTCTAAACAATTTTAGGAGATCAATTATTCTAATTCTTTTTCTTGAACATCTTAGGATGAGCGAAATCTGTCTTTGCATGCAGTCCTTGCAGTTGCAAAAGGGCATCACATGCTCCTCAGTTAGCCTTCAAAAACAGAAATGTAATATCAAGCTTTATGCAGTACCTGTTAGAGCCTTTTCTTGTCGATTTGCTTCGACTGGTTCTGCTTCTAGTAGAGATGATTTGGGCAGTCAGAGGAAACATATTGCTTCTGCCTTCACTGTTCCAAATGGGTATCAGAGGTTAGGACCAACTTTAGTAATTTCATTATTGTCTTTGAGAAATGGTGTCAAGAGTTGTGTCTGTCTTTCAGATAAGATATTGAATGATTTCTTTATAGTAGGGCTGGTCACATGCACTACCGTACTGATGGGAACAGCGCGAGTGAATTTGAGGGTCAGTTGGACGAATTATTCAACGAAGTCAGAATGCTGATTGTTAGCAGAAGGAAGAGTGATGCTGTTGAGCTACTTCAAGCAAATTATGAAGCTGTAAAAGAACAGATGGAATCAGGTGCTTGTGGCATTGAACAAGCTGCTGTTCTTGACATCGTGGCTTTGGGGTATATAACTGTTGGAGACTTGAAGTTTGTTGCTTCTATACTGGATATAGTAACTTCTTTTTCCCTTATCATCTATACAATAGTTGATTTGAACAATTCAGCGCACCTCAGTTCTGTGCAATAAGGATTATACTCATATGACTTGGGATTTGTTTAGGTTATTATCTAGTCATAGTTACTCTCGGAGGACTTTCATGTGTAAAATTCTAGTTCAAGTACCTATAAACTGGCATCTGTTGTTTGAGTCGTTTGGCCCATGTTGTATTGACTGTATGATAGCCGGTAAGGAGGCAGGGTCAGAGACCATGCGCATATATAGGTATGAGATGCCACATCGATTGAAGAGAGAAACGAGTGTCAAAGATGACACTGAGTCTCAAAGGGGGGTGGATTGTGAGATCCCACATTGGTTGGAGAGAAGAACGAAGCATTCTTTATAAGAGTATGGAAACCTCTCGCTAGCATATGCGTTTTAAAAACCTTGAGGGGAAGCCCGAAAGGGAAAGTCCAAAGAGGACATGGTGGGTTTAGGCTGTGACAATAGGACTCGACAATTCCTTTTCCTCTTGATGGCATTTTAATTCTGTTTAAAAAATTATATGAGCATGTCTTGGCCTTATTCTTGCTCAAAGCAAGTACACATGGCCATCTAGCAATGCAGTCACATTTCTTAGGTGGTTTTGGAGTAATAAAGAGGTAGCTTTGAATGTTTACCTCGTTCTTATGCCCCAAAAGTATTCCATACTTATACAGCCAAAGTTTCAACTGGTCAATCTTCTGGACTCCCTTCAATTTTCTCCTGAGTAACATGATTCTCTTCTTGTTTCCTTATTCTGATCAATTTTCATATATGCAGTTGAACAACATTGTTGACAGTCTGAAGGACAACGAACCTTTTCTGGATTCAGTGCTTCTGCATATGGGGAG